AACCTCACTCGATTTGTTTGTTTTCAGATGAATCTAATAAGAAGGGGAATAAATCTTTTAGCTTCAAGTATTAGGACACAATGTTATCAGATACCAGGTATGTTCATCATTTTCCTTTCTATCATGTGTTTATTTATATAATTCTTAATATTTATTTAAAGGTTATGAGGGAACCATTATATTAATATGAACAATGCTCCGATCCGTAATTTACGACTAAGTGTGAGCTTCTATGGAGTATTCAATGTCTTTGATGTTATAATTTAAACTTTATACTGTCAGCATATTATGAAATTGAGAATTTATGTATTCCATTACAAATGTAATGATTTTATAATTTTCATACTTTATTAAATACTTCACTATCAACACATATGTATAGAAACATGTTGAGTTTTCTTTATTCTGTAAACATTTTTAAGTCATATCTGCATTATGAACTCGGCAAAGCTGGATTTAAAGTTAGAAAATATTGATACATACCATTTCTTACAACTTTATTTCAAAATTTCTTACAAATTATTCTTTATAAGTGTACAATGTAAAAGAGACATTACTGTTACCCCAACAATCGTTAAAATGAGTTAGCTAATTTTGATTTAGAATTATGAAGGATGCACTCTAACACAATTAGCATTAGACAATCTGCTGCCTACTTTAAAAGGAAACTTAACTTTATTTAAAATGTCTTAACTGTTAAACATAAAAGTAACCAATGTGTTATTCAAAATAAAGTTACATTTTCTGTGTGCTATTTCATCTACATTTTTCAAGTCGATCATTTGTAATACAGACACAATTCATTAAAATGGTCGATTTTACAATGTACACTTGTTCCCTTTTACAATATCTTACTAATATTATGAATGCAAAAATGTATATTTGTTTGTAGAGTTTGTAGACTAAACTGCTGAGCGGCTTTTGATGAAATTTGACATATTTGTAGAGGATAGTCTGCAAGAACACACAGGCTACTAAGTTTTTTAATTCCATGAGGAAGGAGTCGTGTGCGAAAGCTAGTATTGTAATAAATAATTAAACAAAAGTAATTCAAATCTAGTGTAGTAATTTAAATGTGATCAAAGGCCATCCTATATTTTTGTATTCTTTCAAATATAATAATTTATCTTTACCACAAATCCTTGTCCAGTCGTAATATTTATTAAAATTAGACTGATAGAATAAATGAATTGTGAGCAAAAATACATTTAATAATATAGAGTTACAAAGGGACAGAGCGTACGACGCGTTACATTGTTTGTCTTTTGCACTTATGTACTATAGTACATAGGAAACCACAGCACATAGCTGTCAATATAGCGTCGGCTCAATTTACCGATGTTCACATCTGCATCAAGATTCACCAGCTGCCACTTTGTTACACGCGATTGTGGCAAGTATTGTCAATGCAATGGAGACGATTGTGGCATAGCATTGTTACGGTCAGCGTATTAGTAAGGGATCGTTATGTCGCGCCTGTATTTTGCGAGGAACCCTTCCGCGTGGACCCGGATTAAGTCTTGCGGTACCGTTAGCAAAACAATATTAACAGACGAAAACATTTCTATTAAATTAAACTACCGATACAAAGTAAAACGCTATTATTTTTTAAATTTCCGATATTTTTCATATTCAACATAAATCTAATAGTCACAGTGTCTGTAGATTGTAGCTAAAAATGCAATCGTATAAAAACAATTACGACTTATGACTAATACGGTATCATAAAATATAGATTGTCAGCTCAAGAACGCAATGTATTTTTTTGGAATAACTATCACAATTCCTCCTAAGTTCCTATTCCCTTAAACGTAAATAGTAATACCGCTTGTTTTATTTGCTACCACTACCGTCCATCGCACAGTACGGTCCAAACAAAAGGGTTGCGGAGGCAGCGTGAATCAGCGCGTTGACCACAGCCCCGTAATCTGCGCCATTCACACCTCCTCTCAGT